AGTAAGTAAGTAAGTAAGTAAGTAAGTAAGTAATGATGTTATCATATAAATAACTGAAGGTGACGGACACATACACATGTACCTAAGTTTGGCACTTATAATCAAGATATATTTAAAATGGTACTACCTCTTATAAGACGTTTGAGCTCATCTCGCTAAATATCATAAACAAGGATAATATCTCTAAACGTTTTGGGCGGCAACTGATCTGCAATTAAACTATAATGTTTATAATTATTGTTCAATGAAAAGCGATAGATTTCATAATGTCTAATAATTTGTAATGATGAAAGTCTACTGATTTTGCTTGTTAGATAACAAGTGCATTATTATAAATACTATAAGTTATTTGCGATGATGGAGATTTGTAGCTCAGGTGGATGATTTTGATGGAGTTTTGTTCTCTGAGCTGGATGGTTTGGTCGTGGAGCTTTCATCGTTCTTCTGAACGACATTATCTGAAGTTTGTGCTGATGATGTCGTTCAGAAGAACAATGAAAGCTCCACGACAAAACCATCCAGCTCAGAGAACAAAACTCCATCAAAATAAGTCATTTGTTTCTTTTCGTAGCAAATTTTGATAACAGAAAAGTGAACAAGAATGAAATCAGTTTAATATGTTTTCGTTCCAAATATATTGAGTATTCTATTTACTTTCATGCAGTTCACATTAAAATCATAATTCGTATGAAATGTTTCTGTTCAATTACCAAAATTTGTTTATCTTTTTAAATCTTCAGTCGTGTGATGTTTAGTTTTGAGTATCTGTTACAAGTGTACCCGCTAGGCCCATGATGGAGAGTGAACACAAAGTAAAAACATCCAATCATTCAGACGTAATAAATTTGGACTCGACTCTTTATGGAAGAAGAAAATCAAACTAAATCTTATCCTCCCCTTCAAAATATTTAATTAGCTATCCTTTACATTCATTGTCGTAAGTTAAAGTGCAGAAACTCCTAATTACAGAATCTGTAACTCTTTGTTATTGATGAAACAATCACATTCTAAATCTTTTCTCCATATTAATTACTTTACTAATACTTTCCAGAATCTCGAATAATTCATTTTAATCTGTCCGTAAAATGAAATCACTCTCATTCTTTGTTCACCGCACAGATACGTATTTCTGCTCTGAAAATGCTATAAATGTTCGTACACCTGTAAGCAGGTCCTATTCCACAAGTGAGGTTATAGAAACTTCAGATGTCTAATAGTTTTAATACTGACCCTACTGAGTAAACCTAACTACCAGTCGTAACTTTTACACTAACACCGTTCCTAGTAACCTTAACTAATTTGAATAATTTCTAAATAACTTGAAATATGTATTACGTTAGACCTGACAGATCCGTCGTAGTGATTATTGCTTTTGTTGTTCTGTGCTCTCTTATTCCATCTTATTTTCTCTAGTTTTAGATGACTATAATCAGTTTGTTATGGTGCAGAAAATAACCATAAGTACACCGTTCATAAATCAACAGAATGTCCACTTAAAAAGAATTAGAGGTTCCTGACTGATCCTTTTATTGCTGTAATACATGTGAAAAATGTACTATCCAAACAATTTTTGAGTAAGAACACTTCAAACAATCTAATACCAAATATTTATCCTCTATATTTATTATTACTATTTATATGAAAATGATTATGCTTGTAAACTGGCATGAATTCTGTCGTTATTATTTTCAGAATATATCATATTATTATTATTATTATTATTATTATTATCCAACATCAATTTTAGGACGCATGGTACAAACTATTGTAATCAAGCATTTCAGAACTAACTTATGAGTACAGAAGAAAAGTGTCATAGACTTCTCTGTCATAGAAATTAGAAGTATGATCAAATAGTTTTTTTTACCGTACGATCATAATGATACTTACACATTAATTTTGTATTGACTTAAGTACATATACTTCTCATGGAATCAAGTTATTTTTAGTAAGATTAAGTAATCATCAATATAGATAGGTTTATTTGATAGTTGAGTTCATCAGTCATTTGAAGCTAGACCTCCATGGAAAACCTGGAAGCACTGGACAGCCGTTTCGTTCTAGTGAGGGACTCGTCAGCAGTGCGCATCCATTAGAATATCCACAAAACCCCTCTCTGATTATAATTATCATATGCTCACTAGTGACTGTCTCCAAGAGTTATTTCCTGGATTTCTAGTGGGAAGTGGTGACCAGTGGGGTCCAACCAGGTCTGTTGTGAGATAGTAACTCACTGATGACAATGATGGACGGTGGCGCAATTTCGTGGACTAATTGAGGTTAGACATTAACACTGTTGGATGCCGGCTCAGTGGTCTAGAGGTTAAGCGTTTGCGCGCGAGATTGAAGGCTCTGGGTTCGAATTTTGCGGGGTAGAGTCGTTGATGCTCACTGCTGAGGAATCTCACACTAGGACGAGATGGCCATCCAGTGGTCCCAGGTTTTTCAAGGTGGTCTAGACTCAACTGACCCATGAACTCAACTATTAAATTACTATAATATCCACAAAACCCCCTTTCTGATAATAGGTAGGTTTATTGAGAATGTTGATTATAAACTATAAGATAATGTAATCACTTTTAATGTTTTATTATAATTGTTAGTAATTAATGCTACTTTACACGGTCAGTTTTCTTCATCTTTTTTTCAAAATTCAAATGCTTATTAATTTTAGCCGTATGTCATAATGGGTTTTTCGTACAATTATTATGATTTTCGGATCCATTTCAAATATAGGGATTTTAGCTAACAATCAACGTCTTTGTATTGATAAGAAATTTGTAACACCCTTATTTCTTCCTTTGCCGAATTAGTTTTAGTAAACGATTCTATTTATTATTTAGTGTCTATATTTTTCAAGTCATTGATCTACTTCTTATAATGAAACATGGATTCAAGCTTTTATTACTCTTATCACAACTAGTGTACCTGTCATCACACCATTCATTTGTACTTTTGACTTATATTTATTTTTGCAATTTATTCATGAACTGCCTTGATTGGTTTAATAATTTCGTATATGCATATAAATATTATTGTACATTACTGTAAAGACTGATGAGGATCTAACTGAAAACGATATTGTTCACTTTTATGTGTTGCTCCCTTTCAAATGTACATATCAACTTCACTAATTGGAGTGTCAAGCATTTGCGTCTAATGATATAAATCTTCGTAACCTTAGAGGGCTTACAACCGAAAGGAAGTTTTGAAATAAAATGAATTCACTTTATTCTGTGAATTTCTTTGTTTTTTAATGGTCATAGATCCGACTCCAGGTAAATCATTTACTACTTGTTATTGAAATATACATGTCGCCAATCCTCGTATATAAATATCGACTTAACTCGCGTTGGTAAATAACGAAATTAAGTCAAATACGAGAATGGAATTCGAATACCTATATTTCATAGTCATTGATCCAGGCAGGCGATCAAAGGAACGAAGAGACCGAGATGAAACGAAATGATGTGCGGTGGAGAAGGCATGTAAGCCAACTCGATTTAATCAAGCGTTAATCGAATTTATGGTCAGACCAAAAACAATGTACAAACATTCGATAGTAAGATAAGAAATGCACACACATACGCTTACATAAAGATAGTTAAGGTTGATAGGCGAATAAGTGACTGGGCAAAAATATGGCTCAAGAAGAATGAATAGATTAATCTCTCCAGAGGCTAGAATAAGCCATGTGGACTTGATATAGTACTCGCTCTGACAGTACTTCTTTCACTTAAGCATAATATACTTCAACGTAAAATAGCACTTTTTTCAACAAACAAATTTAATGTGTTAATTTTAAGTGGTAAATTATTATTAAGACAGTTCCTGATTATTAATTCAACACAAAAATTTAGCGTTTATCATGTAAATTACAAAAACCTTAAAAGAATGAAATGACATTGTGACTAATGTCTTTCGTCATATGTTGTCAACCTCTCTATCTATAAATATCCCCTTTAATTAATTTTAAGGCATCTGCTCGGACAACCAATGCGTTTTTAAACGAACACAAAATCCATTAAACACCTTCCAATTGTTTCATCCTTTAAAAAATTACATTTTTAATCATACATACAATATCGAAAGAAAACAGAAATCGATCAATAATGGAAACAAATTTTGGTTATATAAATTTCAGTTTAGATTGTGAATGTTTTAATACGATTGGATAATGAAAAGTGGTCGATCCATTTTCTTCTTTCTAACTAATCTGTTGATGAATACGGGCATGAAATGACCTTTATTCGATAAACAACGTGACATACAAAAAAAAGATCCATATTGATATCAGGGATTAGAGGTCAGTTATGCGATAACATTTGATTTTCTATTGGAAAAGTGCATAACTTAAAAATAACTATTGAATTGGTATGGATCTATAGGAAACTGATCATTCTAAGCCTCTAGCAACATGCATCGAAATTTGAATCCGCAAAATATCTACATCACAAACCAGGTGTGTTGTGAAATAGTAACTCACTGAAGACAATGGTGAGTGTGTCGCTCAATTTCGTGGATTAGTTGAAGTTAGACATTAACACCGTTGGATGTCGGCCGGCTCAGTGGTCTAGTGGTTAAGTGCTCGCGCGCGAAACCAGTAGGTCCTGGATTCGAATCTCGCAGGGGCGAGGTCATGGATGCGCACTGCTGAGGAGTCCCACAATAGGACGAAACGGCCTGTCCAGTGCTTCCAGGTTTTCCATGGTGGTCTAGCTTCAACTGACTCATGATCTTAACCATTGAGATCGCTTTCTATCAGAAACAATTAGAAGTTGAGGATCAAAGAAATCGAAAACACCTCAGCGAACCCATGGGTAAATGTAAGACACATGAATGGTCTTTTTGTAACCAGTTATATGGAAAACACTGTGGAAAGTGCAATTTACAAACTTAGTTTCATTTTTATCAAGTATGATATTCATATTCTTATTAAAATCTAATATAAAACAAATTCTTTTCATAGAATAAAAAAATATTTCACAATTATAACTTACTTTCTCTTTTCTTTTTGATAAACGTTCATTTCTTCGAAATGCTATCATATCTTTATCTGTTAAAGATATAGGTATATCTGTTGTATTATGTTGACATGGTTTTTTCGACGATCTATATGTCACTTTAGATTGAATTGTTTTACTAGTAGGACTTGTAGTTTCATCTTTTTGTTCAATTTCAAATTCAATATTTCTTTTCGTATCATTTTTATTATCTATTGTTGTTGTTGTTGTTATTACATCTGATAGATTACTAGTTTGATTAGTTGTATCATCAGGTGTAGGATTATATTCTTTAACTGTTAATAATTTCGACAATATTCTAGAATCTTGACTTTATCTTTATGTTTATAATCACTAAGTAATGATTGTAATTTAGCTTGTTTATCTACAGCTAATCGTAAATTATTCAATGCTGAAATAAGTCTAAACTGTTGTAAATGTTCTCCTGATTTGATTTTATTAGTTGTTTTATTATTTTCATTAATTTTATTATTAGTACATGTTTTTTCATCGGTATAGTATGAATATTCATCATTATCATTATTATTATTATTATTATCCTCAGTAAATCGATCGTCAGATTCATTATCTTCATCGTCATATTCATCAGGATCATTATCATCATCATTATCTTCTGCTGAATACTCTGATTCTTCTTGAATTTTAAGATTTTCTTCATTTAAGTCAAGTGCATGCGGGGATTCTCTTCGAGATAGTATATCTTGTAAAAAAAGTTTATTAAAATTTAATGACATTGTTATAGACAATCGAGAAGATTAAAAAGTTTCAACAATTATGTTAAAGATTCCTTTCGAATTCAACAAATCCTATAAACTTTACATCAATATACCTATATATATAATCACATTATACAGAAATCATTATAAGATTTTTATTCCTATTTCTTTATATAGAAAATATAAATAAATAAATGTTAATTCTTCAAAGAATTCCAAATTTCTTTGAGTGAAAATGTATAGAACATGTGTAGATACATTGGTTTAATACATGTGTAATCATGTAATTCATTAACGCCTACTCCTATTCGAATGGTTCTGATTTCATGTGTGTATCTTAAATACAGACAATTTTATTATGATTGGTTGAAATAGAATGATTTGCTTTAACCATGTGACTAAATATTATTGGTCACTTTGAATTCCCCGGTTGATATCTACTATAAAAAGACATAAACAGTAAAAATAGGTTATATATATATAATCTAGGCTCTATTCTAAAATTATCTTTCAGCGTGAATTTCGAATGTATTAACTGTCACTGGAATAGATTTTAGATGTGTTTTTCTTTTTTTTCAAGATTCAATGAAACTTACATTGTTGTGAGCAATATAATGAGTAGGGACAATGGGATGTATTAGACATGAAATTACAGAGTATCTCACTGAAATCTGAGAACCATATAGTAAATTAGGTATCATTATCAAGGTTTGATTTGATAATTTCGAATAAATTGAGCATTGGGCAGATTGTCACTTCTTCAGAGAAGTGACTTACACTAAGCCAGGAAACGTCAGAAAATCTAATTTTTCATTGGGTTATTACAAATATACTATTTATTTACATATAGTAAATTGTTAATTTGCAAAATACCAATCCATCATATCAAACTTGACTGTTCCTGTTGCAAACATCAATCCATTGTCTCAGATTTCACTGTTCATGCATTTTCATATCAGTTGCGTTCCTTTTCCTTTCTTCCCTTATCGATCTACTACTGAAATACATTCTATGCCTGACCACCGTTATATACTACTTATGTGGATATAAGTAACCCGCACCACAATATAGCTGAACGTATAGCTTAACAGAAAATGAAACATATTTTAGTAATTATTACAATTTCAAACTAGTTCCTTTAATTTCCCAAACTTGATGGTCGCCTACTGAAATGTTAGGACTCAAATATTTATCTCTATGACGTTGTAGTTAATGCTCTAAAATACATATTTCCATGGGTATTCAATACTCGGAACTTATATTCTTAGTTTTAATGAAATTAACCAGTTTAAAGTGAACACTTGAATCTTAATACTATTTTTGGTAACACATTATTTATGTGCACTGCTTTTCCATGCTTCTTACTTGCTAAGAGATCATTCTATCGTTTGCTGTTATTCTCGAACAAATATGTTGCTCCCTCTAATAAAATCGTGTTTATTAACTATCAGTAGGGGATATACGAAATATTCCAACGTAACGAATCCTAATATTGGCTAATTGAAGGAAACAAACAGAAGGCTTATATTTTATGCTAAATTGAATGCATCAAGATGATTATCTGTAATCTTGGTGGAACTGATGATTTCCGCGGGATTTAAACCTACTTCACTAAGTGTTATTGTCATGAAAATTACTTCTGATCTATTTAGGCCAAAACTGATATCACGAGTGAGATATTATTAGTGATTTTTCACTGAACATACTAGTGTAAATTTGGTATCGGTCTCCTTTGATTACATCAGAGTGAAGTCTAACGACACTTTACAATAGCATTCAAATTAACTACTCCACGTTTATATTCTCCCTTCTACATAATACTGGTTAATCTTAATAAATTGTTGATATGACACGTAGAAAACTATGATATATTGTAATTCGGGTGATAGGCTTTTCGAAATAACTAAGAGTAGAGTTGATTTTGGACAATAATTGGGTATTACATGACTTTTTCTTCTTTTTTCGTTTCACATTAAAAGAGAGACAAAGCCATTCGTATCGCGAATCGTATCAAAGCATTGTTATTTGAAATTTTATGGATAGAAAACTTAGGTAATAACAAAATGGCTGGCTAATACAATCGTTTTAAATAGTATCACGTACAATAACGTCTACCTGAACACTAAAATTTATACTTTCATCGATTGTTTAATTAATTTTATAGTAAACATAATCGAATTATTCTACTTAAAAAAACCTAATGAAAAACCCAGGATGTACTGGGTAGCTGTTTCGTTCTAGTAAGGGGTTTCTAAGAAGTGCGCATTCTCGACCACACCTGTGACCGAACCTATAACCTTCTGATATTGTTGTGTGGTCTTTGTCCCTAAACCATCTTACTAAAATCCAATGGTCTACATGTTCAAAATCAATCGGTTCACGATATTGCTCAATTAATTTCCATTATCGTTAGCAGTTAACTGCCTAGTATGTGACATAGCTCAACTCCATAGGTTACAGCTTTTCATTAAAACTCCAGGCGCTATCTGTCGAAGTTAGTGATTAGTGGATACAACTGTTACCATACATGATGTTCGAAAGGTCGCTTATCTGATCTCCGGAGGAGTTGTGGATGTACAGTACTGTGAAATTCCAAAACTAGGACGAAACAGCAGTTCAGTAGTCATAGGGCTTCAATATTTGTTTAGCTATGATTAGTCGGTGATTTTTACCATGAACTTTGACATCTTCCACGAACCTTCGAGAAAATAATATAACTACTTTAAAAATCGAAATACCAAAAAGTACAAAACCATAGACAGAGTCTTTAATTTATGAAGAAACATTTTATATTTTGTGATATTTTTAATCTAAGACAAGAATAGAATTTTATGCCAAATATTAGATTCATGTGACAAACAGTTCTGGAAATAAATGAAATTCTTAGCATGATAACTAAAAGGATTTTCTAAATCATACATTCAGAATACCTAAAGGACTGAAAGTCTTTTCGGCGGGGGCGGGATTGAAAGTCTTTTCAAGAAATGAAAATAAATTTAATACTAAATGGAAGATAACTCTTAATCAATATCTTTCCCAACAAGTTATGTGTCGATGGATTGTGTAATTTGCCTCTAACATAAATGTATGAAAGAAGGTAGTTGATCTCGATTCAAAACACTTGTATAGAAAAATTACTTACCATGTGTTATCATATGCCTAGTAAGTTGTTGTAGATTAAAAAGTTAAGAAGTCTGTAGGAATTACATAACAGTGTATATTTGTATTGTCTTGTAAAAACTACAAACTTTTTATTTCTATACATACTGATCACTTATCTTTTTATTGTCTTACATAACATCAACCTTCATCTTCAGCATGTAAATACTAATCCATCTTAACTATTATGTGAAAAATATCGTTTCCTTTTCTTGTTTCTTATATCGTTTCGAACTAAACTTCATTGATCACAATATGTAAACCTTCTTATAATAATATTACTAATATAAATTTAGGCGGTTTACAACTGATGAAAAGCCTTGAAATATAGTGTATTCATGTTATTCTACTAATCTTGTTCTACCCACTTTATTTTAGATATTTTATTGTCAGATTCATTCATCTTTATTAATTTAACAGAGTTAGTTCTCCTTTAAATATACTCCGTAGGCATGGTTTGTTCAAATAATACAAATACGGATAGTATCATCTGTTCCATTCAGTCTAACTATAAGTAAATAATATGGTTATATGTAAATATTGCTGTTTTACAATGTTGGTGTTCAGATTATGTTTAATATGAAATAATTATCTAACAAAATAATAATCATAATACTGTTCATATTACACACTATCTGATCAACTAACATATTTTAAATAATCCCCATTTATGAACAAAAGGTATGAATTATAGTGACATGTCTATTCGTAAATGCGGACTACTTACTTGAGGTCCGCGTGACTATCGTAACCAATGGTTGGAGACTCTGGATGACATGGCTTGGAAACGATCACAATGAAGTACGTGTATACACTCTTTGTCTTCCCTTAAATGATGAGATTAAAATTGCTTTATACCTTTATTTCTATGAACTAATTTTTTCTTACTGTATTATATCTTTATACACAACCTTTCTTCTGTATATTACTACCAGAGAAGTAACGACTTCTATTAATTTAGTGTTAATCTTGTTGTGTTAATGAGGTATGGCAACTTGGACCGATGCATGTATGTGCCTGACTGATAAATATAGATCATTGATTACAGAACTTAATGGAGTCCTCAGCTACTTTGTATGATGTATTTCGTTAGTGATAGAAATAAGATTCTTATGAATGATATCAGATTTAAATCTTTCATGGAAAATAACACCACATCCAGTAAGAAACATCCCGTCGGTCAGCATATTATGTCTTATAAATTAAACAACAGTCTCAATAAGCATTGAAACAAACATTTCTAATAAGCAGAGGTGGATGATGACTAACGAGGGAATCCGGGAATCGTGTTTTGTCCTATTTAGAACTCGTCAGGTGGATGGATATGCATCTCAAAGTTGATGTTCACTCTGAAACTCGAATCCAGTACTGTTTGTTTCAAACGCCATCGCGTTATTCACTTAGTTACTTACTCCTGATATCCACTTACTTGTACATCCTAGATTTCACTGCTATCCTTCATCCATCTTTATTTATAATGCTTGTGAATGAAAGCTATATCGAGGTAATAAACATAGTATGCATATATGCCACTAAAAGACTGATCGATTGCAACATTAAAAAGACGATTCAAGTAAACAATACCAAGTGAATTTAAACATTTCTAATCTTCAAAAAATAACTAAATTTATTTGATAATACAATTTCAACATTTTTCACCTCAACTAATCTCATGTTCTATAAATAAATATTACTTGAAAAATAGATAACATGTAAAATTATTTATGGGTTGTTTAAACTACATTATATGCCTACGCAAATACTGTGTACAAACAAACCCAAAATCTTACAAACGCCCAAACACATACCTACATACATATATGCATACTAACCTCAAGACATGTAATTTGTATTTCTAT